TATATATATATAATATGCCCCAAGAGTAACTTTCTGAATGAATGTGAGAGGCTAGGATTTCTTAGGGTGGTATCTGCTATTGGGCCAGCTGTATAGCTGTAGTAAAGTAAGTCAAGATTTTGAATGGGTTGAAGACACATTTCCAGCCTTCCTGTCCCGCCCACATGTGGCTCCCCCTGCCTGACATAGTACAGATGGTGCAGAGCTTTAAAGTTGAAGGTTCACACAGAGACTCAGATCACTTTGCTGGGGTGGCCTGACCCCAGCTGCCTGGTGCAGGGGGCTAGACCCACCCAATGATCTTCTGAGGTCCCTTCCAGCCTTATAATCTATGAATCGGACTCTAGGACCCCTTGGGCTCTTCTACACATGCAATTAGTGCACATGAATACACTCTGGAGCTTATTGCTCCAGAGACTTTTGCTCCTGGGCATGCTTTTTGGACATGTGCCTGGGAGCAATTAACTCTGGAAAAATCAGCTCTGGAGTGTGTTCATGTACGGCACACACAGCCTGGTGAGAGCAGCCCTAGCTGGCAGGAGGCTCCAGGGCCTGGGGCTGCTCCCACTGACACAACATGCTGCAGAGGAGCTGGCTGAGGTCAGAGGATGCTTCAGCACAGGGCTACCCAGCAGGCAGCCCCCTGCACTGAAGCACCTTTGTGCCCCACCCATCCAGGTTAGCATCTACATGTGCACTGAAAAAAGTCTGCAGCAGGGTTGAATCAAGAGAGAGGAATAATACGAGGAAAACTTTGAGTATTTTCTATCCCAGATAAGGACTGTTCAGGGTCAGAGTAAGTCCCAAAAGGCCTTCATGGCTGCCTACTTGGGAGGTAACTAGAATGTACGGTCTCAAACATGGGAAGTTTGCAGCAGGGTAGAATCAAAAACAAAAATTAGGGTTGGAAGGGACCTCTGGAGGTCATTTAAGTTCAACACCCTGCTCAAAGCAGGATCATCCACCACAAAAGCATTCTAGCCAGGGCTTTGTCGAGTTGAGCCTTAAAAATCTCCAAGGATGGAGCTTCCACCACCTTTCTAGGTAACCCATTCCAGTGTTTCACCACCCTCCTAGTGAGAGAGGAAATTTAGGTTGGATATTAGGAAAAACTTTCTTCAACTTGAGACCATTGCTCCTTGTTCTGCCATCTGCCACCACTGAGAACAGTCTAGCTCCATCCTCTTTGGATCCCCCCCTTCAGGTAGTTGAAAGCTACTATCAAGTCCCCCCCGCCTCGGTCTGCTCTTCTGCAGACTGAATAAGCCCAGTTCCCACAGCCTCTCCTCAGATGTCATGTGCCCCAGCCCCTGAACTATTTTCATACTACCATGCTGCAGAGTTTATTAGCTCTCCACACCCTAAGAGGGCGCATGTGCAGAAACTGAGAGGTTTACCATAGAGCTAATTAGTCAGCTCTGCAGTAAATGTCTCCTGTAGATATGTCTTCTGAGTACTGCAAAGTGCAAGGGCACATTACAAGAAGCACAACGTCACGGACTGGGTCCCTGATACTGGGGTCCCCACACACTAGCTGTTGTATGGTTGGGATCTGACATGTATTATTCCAGATTCTGAAAATTGTGCATCCTATCATTGTCTGATTTGGGGGAATCTATGATAAAATGTATCAGAACTCAATCATGCAACTAACTTAATGACTACAAGGGGTCTAACAGAGTTAGTGCAGCTTGAGGGTAGTGGCTCTTCTGTAGATCTCTTAGACATGTAGAATTCTTGTTTAAAAGGATAGCCCATGCCTGTTAGAAACTGACACATATCTAGGAGAATAGATAGAACTGCTAGGGCCCCTAAGACTCTGAGGTATCGTAAGGATTTAAGGAGGAAACCGCTTCCCATTCAGGCGAGAAAACAAGTAGGGAAGATTTGATTCCATCCAAGTCCTGCAGAAACAAAATAATACAAGGAAAACTTTGAGTATTTTCTATCCCAGAGAAGGACTGTTCAGGGTTAGAGTAAGTCCCAAAAGGCCTTCATGGCTGTCCACTTGGGAGGTAACTAGAATGGAAGGTCTTAGATTAAACATGATTCCAGCTAATCTAGTTTCTTATTTGGTATAATCAGTCTGTCACTTTGTTTCCAGTATTTTTTTTAGATAGAATGGTGAGTGGGACAGAAAAGAGCTTTTATCTGCTTGTTAGCAAGTTTTCGAATTGTACATTTTCTTTCTCTTAGTAAGAGCATCATAGATCTGGGTTGTTTTAGTAAGACCATTTGAGCAAATAATTCATTATATCTGCTCAGCAGGTCTCTCTGATCCAGTCAATTTTTCCTAAGGTGTACTATTAGTTAAATTGGTTTTATAACATCTTTAAATTGGTG